ATGTCCCTTTAATTAAAAGCCTTTTATCAGTTTAATAGATGTGGACTGTAAAGTTCCAGACTTCAGTCCGGCATCTTTACCTTTCGTGAATCTGCACCTGAAACATTAAACATTGTCTAAATGAAGCAAACTCTTCATCCCAGATTGCACACGTTTATTTCAGATACACACCAACCAATGAACATTGACATGCTTCTTACAGGTGTTGGCTCGATACAGAAAATCAGGCAGCACAATCCCAAACCACGGACCCAAGAACGGCCCATGTTCTTTTTGAGGTAAGAATTAATGTGGATCAGGTCGTTGTACCATTTTACTTCAATAGCAAGGCAGTTAAAATAGGTAAGGCCTGACAAAGTAACAACAGTCAGAGATATCCATCAGTTCTATATGTAAAAGCACCGCTTTCTTCTGAAAGCTTACTAAAAACAGCATTCAGTAACAGCAGTGAGGTCCTGATCCGTCACCACACAGCTCAGCTCCGTGGCTGCACACAGACAAAATAGAAAGTATTCACCCCTCACCTAAGTTCTCCCCTTTTTTCCAAGAATTTACAAAAGACTCTTTCATGTCAACGTGAAAGCACATTTCTAGAAAGTAATAAAACACATCAAATTTAAAATACGTGATTTCACAAGTATTCATCCCCTTCAAGTCAGTATTTAGTAGATGCACCAGTTACAGCATTGAGCCTGTGTGGATATGTCTGGTCAACATCTGGATGCCGCAGTTTTTAACTCATTTTTATTTATAAAACTATTCAAACTCTATCAGGTTACACAGGGATCTTGAGTGAAAACCTTATTTCAAGTTCAGCCAAAAATTCTCAGTTAGATCGAGGTCTGTGCTCTGCTTGGCCTCCACAACGTTCACCTTGTTGTCTCTAAACCATTCCTGTGTAGCTTTGGCTGTTTGCTTTGGCTCATTGTCTTACTGGAAACCAAATCTTTGTTCAAGTCTCGCTTCTCTTAATGCTGCCACCACCGTGCTTCACATCATGATGGTGCCACCACCGTGCTTCACGTCATGATGCTGCCACCACCGTGCTTCACATCATGATGCTGCCACCACCGTGCTTCACAGCGGAGACGATATCTTTGTGAAGATGTACAGTGTTTAGTGTCCGTCAAACATAGCATATAATCTGATGTCCAAAAACCTCCCTTTTGGTCTCATCAGACCAAAGAACCATCTTCCAGTTGACTTCAGAGTCTCCCACACGCCTCCTGGTGAACGCTTAGATTTAATATGAGCTTCTTTTTTTTTTTAACAGAATCGTTCTCTTTGTCTCCCATAAAGCTTTGAGTGGTGAAGAACAGTTGTTGTATGAACAGTCTCTCCCATCTCAGCCACTAAAGCTTGTAATTTCTCCAGAGGAGTCATAAGGGTCTTGGTGGACTCCCTCACTTGTGTCTTTCTTGATCGGTCACTCAGTTTTTGAGGACGTACTGCTCTAGGAGGATTTGCACATCATATTGCTTCCACTGGTTTTAACTGGACTCTAAGAGATATTCAGTGACTTGAAAATGTTCTTGTATCATCCCCAGACTGATGCTTTTTAAAAACCTTTTTACAGTTGGAGTGTTCTTTAGTTTTCATGGTGTAGTTCTATCCAGGAGTACTGATCCACCAGTGACTGGACCTCCCAGATACAGGTGTCTTTATACTACACTCACTGAGACAGTCACTGCACTCAGATGGTCTCCATGTCACTAACTATGTGACTTCTAGCATCAACTGGCTGTACCTGTGTTGAATTAGGCGAGTCACGTTGAAGACCGCGAATATTTATGCAATCACTTATTTTACATTAATTTAAATGATTGACTTTACTTTGTCGAAAGCTGTTTTTACTTTAACATGAAAGAGTCTATTTTTGTAAAATTCTTGGTAACGTCCAACAGGGGTAAATACTTTTATAGGCGCTGTGTGTTTCAGCCGGTCTCTGCACAGTGTTCAGGCCTGACAGTGTTCGACTTTGTGGCGTTAAACCGGAGCAGCCGTCTGTTCAGTCATGTGGTGTTTCTGCTGGTGGATCCTCAGGTTCTGTTTTCCGGCAAATCTTTTCCCACAGTGCTCGCAGGCGAACGGTCGCTCGCCGGTGTGGACGCTCTGGTGCGTTTTCAGGTGACCCGACTGCGTGAAACGTTTCCCACACTGAGCGCAGCTGTACGGCCGCTCGCCGGTGTGAACGCGAACATGTGTCTCGAGGCTGCGGGAAGACGTGAAGCATTTGCCGCAGTAGCTGCAGACGAATCGCCGATCTCTGCAGTACCTGTTGATGTCCAGAGGGTCCAGCCTGGAGCCACCCAGGGTCAGCGCCAAGGGGAAACCGGCAGCGTTCATGTCGGACGCTTTGTCCAGGAGCGTCGGCCGGTGGTCCGGTTTCAGGTACGGCCGGTGAGGCACCATGCTGGGCATGCCCTGGTTGGTCCAAGAGGAGCACAGATCCAGCTCTGAGTCGTAGGGTAGGGAACCAATCAGGCCTCGCTTCAGCTCCGAGGTGCCGGACAGTGATGTCGGGTTTCCTCCCGACCTGAGCAGGAACGCCTTCCTCGCCTGGGCTGCAGGTGGAGCGTCGCAGTCCGACTCTGAGGCCAAATCGAACACGACTTCTGAAGAGTTGCTTTCAGCGGCGCCTGCAGGTCCTGGTGAGCCCGGTGCACTGTGGGAGTCCTGATGCCCGAGTTGCTCAGACAGTCCGTTCTGGTCCCACGGCCGGATGTCGGAGGAGGAGATGGACATCCCAGAAGGCCCTTCTTCACTGTCGTCTGCTGCCGACGGCGCCGCCTCACTTCCTGTAGACAAACAAATTATCAGCGGTGAGTTCAGCCAGAACAGCAAAAACATAAACTGCCAACTGTTAAATAAAAACACAGAATAACCTAAAAAAAAAAAAAACTAGAGTCAAAATATCTCTTTTTAGTATCAACATACATCTCTATGATCTAAACAAGGAGGACAGAAGGAAAATCAGTGTATTTCAGTCACTGCAGAATGTCTAATTCCAGTAATTTAACCCTGTGAACTCCAAAAAGCAGTTTCTGACGTTTTTTTTTTTTGCTCCTGTCACATTTTTCTTCAACGCGGTTCATTTTTCACTCAAAGTCCTGTACCTCTATGGAAACAGTACAAGCATGAAGAAGGAGAGAGAACTCAGAGATGTCTTCTGTGCAGAATGACAGAAATCATAAAAGTAATATGTTGAACTCCTTTGATTATTTATTTTACAAAACATTAAAAAACAACCTGGAATCCACATGTGCCAACTTTGCGTATTTCACACGACTCTGCACATCAACTCTAAATCTGACCTGGTTAAAAAAAAAAAACAATCTACTGACATCAAACAACCTGCAAACAGAAATGCATCAGGGTGAAGTAAACAAAAGGACAAGTTGCTGTAGAAAGATGTTTCACCATGCTGGATGTGTCTTCAACAACTTGCTCCTCTGTTCACTGTTTCTGAGTCATGCTGCATTTATTTTATTGATCCAGTAGGTTTGATTTTCGTGTCAGTCTTTGCTGTCGTCTCCTCTCAGCTCTTCACAAAGCAGAATTCTAATTTTGTTTACAGAATTTATTGAGTGCAAACTGTTGATTTTTGGGAATTTTTCAATGAAGCGTGTAGAATAAAGTGATTTTGAAAAAATATAATGATTTAAAAGTTAGATTTGGTACATTTTCCTGAACTACATGTGGCATGTGTTGTATTCAAGGACTGTGAAAAAGTTGAAAATCCAATGATTCTGTTTTTGAAGTGACAAATGGTGTAATTCAGTTTGTTTATTTTGATGATAGCATGATTTTTACACATGTCTGTTGGTTTTGGGTTTTAGATGGTTAACAGCCTAATCCAACAGCATTTATAATACATACATTATTAGATCATATAATAATAATAATAATAATAATAATAATAATAATAATGATATAATTATCTAATACTGCAGTAAAGCAGCACAGCGCTACATCCTGTCTGTGCATTCTGACTTGTAGAAAAGTTGCTTTCTCTGCAGTCTTGTTAAAAGTCTTCACTTATATGAACAGATTTAAACCTTTATAACAAACACCAAGCGTGTTGCCATGGATTCGGTGAGCTACACTGTCGTTACAGTGTTTTTTGGGCCTGTATTTATTTGCACTTTGTAAAATTTAAATACGCTGAGTTTCTTAGCGACTCCCGTTTGAAGTGTGTTGTGAACTCAGGAGGACACCGTCTGGAAACTCACTGCAGTAAAGACAAACTAATGGTTCAGTAGAAACCACACTAACGGTAGCCGACACGATAAAAACGACCCGACCTGACAACGCCCACTTTAAATCCTGTGAGAAAAACTCTGCTGGAGCCCTGAATCCCTCCAACTGTTCGTCCTTTGACCACAGACAAACGGCAGAACAACATCTGGAGCTGCTGCAGTGAAACAACAAGTTAACCACAAACCAACCAGAGCGCAGGTGAGTTTATCAGCAAACTGAAGGAATTAAAGTCCCACGGTGAGCGACTCTCCACCTCAGCTACGACTTTCTTGCACTTGATGTGACGAACAAACTGGAACTTTGGATCCGACCAACAGTCACGTTGCTGTCATGGTTTATTACCTACCGTTAGAGCCACAGAATGAGGCGACTGCTCGTCTCCTGCTTTGTTGAGCTGCTGCAGTGAATTCTGGGAGTATTTCTTACCGTCCTCGTTCAGAAGCATCTCGTCTCTGTCCAGATCCTCGTCAACTTCCTCTTTCGCCATTTCCTCTTTTATCAGAACAACGTCCTGATCGCTGGGCTGCTCTGAAGCTGCTGTCGGAGAATCCTGAGAGCAACAGAAATGAACAGTTTAGTCTCAGAAACAGTTGCAGCAAAAGTCTGCGGACTGCCACAACAGAAATCCATCCGACATTTATATCTTTAGTTCAACCTGCTGTAAAAGGTTCAGCTAACTTTGGTCTCTCCACCTCTTTAATAAAGATTCAGGAAAACTTTAGCAACATCAGTGTTAACCCGATTCTTTAGTTGGCAGCCCAAGAACAAACCAGAGAATTCTTCAGTTCACAGATGTAGAATTTATTCAGGTCACAGCTAAAATGGTGTGTGTACAAAGTGTGTGTGTTGTCCAAAAGGCGTGTATCTAAAGCAAGTGATAGAAAAGAGGAGTTTCCACTGTCTCCCAGCATGTGAACCAGTTCTCACCGGCCATGTTATCTTCAAGGACGTGCATTGTGCTCAGTAGGAAAAAGCAAAACAGGATCATAGGTTTAGTGGAGAAAAACAGATTCAGAATATATGATAGTTCAAAACATAGCTAATTATATCATTAGCTACTTTTACAGATCACATTTTTGCAAACTGTATACATAAGTTGTTCTGGAACGTAAATCTCTGTCTCCTGGAATCTCAAGCAGGGGCTCCTTCTGTTTACTTCTTTTTTACTTGGATAATCATCAAAATTTGACAAAATTTTTGCATAAAACTGTATTTAAAGTTTTTTCACGCAGGTTTTTCCTGAATATAGGATTCTGTGGTTTCANTTTCAAAATAATAGCCTGATTTTGTTGTGGACTTCAAAATAAGACCCTAATGATGTTGCTGATTCCCAAACTTAATTCTGTGTGCTTCCAAAGTGACATTGTGAGCGGCAAGACAAATTTTCCTACGTTTTGATGTAAAAATCATGTCTGTCACATAAAAATTGTGGCCAGGGCGACAAGTTAAAAAAAAATTTACTGTGATATTTTTGTGAGCTCCCACTCTAGTGATGTCATCACTCACTCTAAAGGACCACATACACACCCATTGTAAAGGCTGAGAAGGGGTGAAAAAGTTTCAAAACTTGAGAGGTTGTCACAAAGAAATGATTGAAGATATGAAAAAAGTAGAAAGACTCTGAAATAGGGGAAGGCCGCGTCAACATTTTAAAGTTGAAATGGAGTCTCTATGTGAAAGTATGACTGAGCAGTGGAGGTTTGAAAAGTAGTGTAATTGTGGGTGATTTTCTCGTCCGTCCCATTCATTTTCAATGGGAGGTTTTCGCGACGTTTTGGCGAAAAAATGCGTGAAAATGCGTTTTTCGTAAATCTGTATGTAAGCACACTATTCCCGATCGAGCCGCACGTTTTGATGTAGAATTTGTGTGGGTGCTCCCAAAGCTGTGGGAGGAGTAGCCGACCGAAAATTTGTACGGAAGACCTGAAATAAGAAGAAACGCACCAGGATAACAATCGTGGCCTCGTGCTCAGCCCGTGGTACTAATAAATAATGTGGCATTATTCAAAAATGATCCCATAAAAGAAAATGCTAATAAAAGTAGAAATGATAGAATTATAGAATAGAATATTATAGAATTATATCTTATTTCATTTCTTACATTTTTATATATATCCCATAATGGCTCTTTCATAAAGAACTGTGCATTTACTCAAGTGTAACACTCCCATGTCCCTTTAATTAAAAGCCTTTTATCAGTTTAATAGATGTGGACTGTAAAGTTCCAGACTTCAGTCCGGCATCTTTACCTTTCGTGAATCTGC